TACAGGTCACAATTCTTATCCGATTTTGACGAAACTTGAAATATAGGTTTATCTCCAAAAGATCTCGGCTGCGTGTATCGGATCGAAACTTAATGGATTATGGCCCCTGGTTGTACGAAAAATCACGTTTTTAGCTTGTGGACCCTATAGAGGTCACAATTTTTATCCGATTTAAAAAAACGTATTATTATATCACCGTTACACCCTAAAGTGGCGTTTACACGATACAACCAATCCATACAACCGTCGGATGCAACATATTGGACGACCGTTTACACGATACAATGGTTCTATTCGTTGTATGGCAACAATGATTCCTTCTTAGTAACTGAATAAAATGGCAGTAAGACGACACTTCTTATCTCTGTCTTGATGCGGCGGGTTCCACAAAGACTTTGCTTATACAGAGTTATTATATATTCAAATTCAATCCGGGATTGGTTTAGATCCATTTTAGAGGAGATCAAAGACCTCGAAGTGACAGAAGAAGACATCTTTAATCAGGAATTCTGGTTGCCAAGTCTGATATGACGTCATACGGCGTATGACGTTGTCTAATACAACGCACTTTGATTGGCTATTGCATGAGTTGGTCGGATGAGAATAGAACTGATCCTATCCATGCAATAAGCCGTCCATCCGACCATTTATCTGATCAGTTGGTCGAATGCGACGGTTGCATCCGACGGTTGTATGGTTTGATTGTATGGTGTAAACGCCGCTTAAGGACGGCCGAGTTCGAATTTCGTGAAAATCGGCCCAAAATTGACAGACAAAATGGCCGCCGTTCGTTCTCAAATAGCGTAAAAATATGGTATATCAAGGTTGTGGACCCTATAGAGGTCACAATTCTTATCCGATTTTGTTGAAACTTGAAATGTAAGTTTATAATTATAACACAAAGATCGTGGTTCCTTTCAATATTTGCGCATATCGAATTGTAATTTCCTGATTTGTGGCCCTTGATTGTAGGAAAAATTACTTTCTTTTTAGCTTGTTCTCTATCCATCTCTCGAAAATGTGGGCGTATCCTGACTGGCAGCCGCTGGTTAATTGTGGTATGAATTGAATACAGTACGGGAATTAAATATGAATTTTTATTACGTACGGGATTTGAATATTTTGTCGACATCTGATTTTTAATTGTGGTATGAATTCTTCTGCTTAAATAATGATAAGAGTTATGCCCCTTTATTTTCGATAAAATGTCTGACAAGAAAATTTTTGAAATCCCATCACTGTTATGACCCTTGATCACTTTGAAATATCTTGTAAATGCTCTAGAGACCAAAGTTATCATCCGATTGACTTTAGGTTGATAAACAGAGTTTAAGGTCTTGAGAGCAACAAGTATATTGATTTTCAATGAGTTTTGATAACTTGAACAGCTAAATTCAGGATATTAAATGTTTTGTATTCTAAACTTTTGCTTGGGACAGAACTAAAAGCCAAACAAATTCTAATGATTTTCTGACAATTACTTAATGAGTTGTTACTCTTAATCAGATTTTTGTGTATTATAACTTCCTGGTGTATGGCCCCTGATTGTACATAAAAACTCGTTTTTATCTTGTGGTCCCTCTACAGGTCACAATTATTATCCAATTTAGAAAAAAAACGTTTGTATATATCACTGTTACACCGTAATTTGGGTTAATTACGAGTTCTGTGAAAAGTGGTCCAAAACTGCCGGACAAAATGGCCGTCCCTCCTACGCAAATAGTGTAAACATCTTGTACATCAAAGTTGTGGACCCTCTAGAAGTCACAATTTTGATCCGATTTTGATGAAACTTGAAATGCATGTTTATGACCCAAAGATCTTGGTTCCTTTCGATATTCGCGCATATTGGATTGTAACTCCCTGAATTATGGCCCCTGATTGTACAAAAAATCACGTTTTTAGCTTGTGGTCCCTTTAGAGGTCACAATTATTATCAAATTTAAAAAAAAAACGTTCGTATATATCACTGTTACAGCATAATTTTGGTTGAGTTTGAATTTCGCGAAAATCGTACCAAAACTTCCAGAATTATGGCCCTTGATTGTACAAAATATCACGTTTTTAGCTTGTGGTCCCTGTTGAGGTCACAATTTTTATCCGATTTAAAAAAACGTGTGAATATATCACCGTTACACATTAAGATTGTGGTTCCTTTTGACAATCGCACATATCCGAACGTAACCTCCTGGAATATGGTCCCTGATTGTTAAAAAATCACATTTTTAGCTTGCTGATTCTCTAGAGGTCACAATTTTTTTCCCGATTTTAAAAACTGTTTAAGTATATCGCCATTCCACCATAACGAAGGTTAAATTCAAATTTCGGGAAAATAGAAATGAAACTGCCCGACAAAATGGACGCTTTTTGTACGCAAATTGTGTAAAAGTGTGTAATACGAAGGTTCTCAACCCTCTAGAGGTCACAATTTATCAGATTTTGATGAAATTTAATTCATATCTTTATATCCCAAAGATCTCAGTCCCTTTTGATATTTGCATATTTCAGACCATATCTTTCTGGATTATTGCCCTTGATTGTACAAAAAATCGCATTTGTTTTTAGTTTTTGTTCTCTATCCATCTCTTGGAAAATGTGGGCGTATCCTGCCTGGCAGCCGCTGGTTCAGCTTGTTCTGTGTCAATTTCTTGCAAAATGTGTAGTCCAGTCAATTTATGATTTTACCCCCCAAAAATTGCAAGAAAAGGTTTTAATGCATTTTTGAGTTTATTTAGATGTACTTTTTAACATCCCAAAAGTTTACCAAATTTTGTGCACCGGAAAGGGGTAAAAATTGGTAAAATCCAAGATGGCCGACATTCGACTACTCAATGTTCAAGAAAATCCTAAATTGTTGGTTTAAGACCCTATATGTATAATGAACATATAGGAATATGATATCAAAATGTCAAATGACCCCATTAAAAGTAATATGATGTCATATAGCCATATAATGACATACTATACCAACCTGCACATCTACGCACTAAAACATTTAAACTTTTGTTTATTTTCCCTATAAATCTATATAGAGATTACCAGAACATGACACTGAATTTAGACCATCAAAATTACACCTGGCATTACAATGGACAGTTTATGGTGTACTGTTATGCCATGTCTTTCTGTGGTTGTCATCTTATAGCTATTGTAAACTGCCCTGGAAATATTATCATGATAATTCATGAACACAGTTCCTTTCGGGACGAGAGGAAGGTGCTTGTAGCGGGGCATTATCACTTTCAGCTATAAGATGGCGACCACAGAATGACATGACGTAATAGTGCGAAATAAATGGTCTATATTTGACATTCTGTTATTGTTACATGATCTCCTTTAATAAGCTTTTGGAACAACAATTTTTGGCCAATGCCATGGATCCTGCATGTGCTATCACACCCACTGAATGTGTGAAAAAACAGGGCTTGGAAACATACTCTTGATGTGAGAAGTTTCTTGAGACAGACTATACATAGACAGATTTTTCGCTCTTTTTGTCTGAATGAAAATATAATCTTTTTGCATGGATGTTAGTATTTGCTCCTGCAGTATCCGAAGATATGCCTCCTCTCCAATCAATTTCATGGACTGCAAATCTACAACTTCAATAGCTGCCTTTATCATGTCGGCATAAACATCTGCAGACACCTGTACAACATTTCAACCCCCTCTTAACTCAAATTCATCACATAAAGCAGCAGCCACATGTATTGAACTTTCGCTTTTCCTATAGTTTCTGCAGATGTATAACAGTTTATCCGATGTGAACTATAATGTAATAGAGCCCAGCAATCGGATATTATGGTATTATGGCGTATTTTAGCAAAAGTTGCACATTTAATGAAAAACAACCCCATGTTTGTTAGAAATCATTTAGATGACAGCGCTCTTCATTCTATGTAGAGCAAATTGGTAAATGATTCCTTACATACCTTTATGCTTGTCTTGTTTTACCTATTTTCCACTACAGCATTTTATGGGGGTATAAAACCACTCAAAACATGTACATACCAACTAGGCCAGTACGCGATAAAGTACCCCGAAAATGGTATAAGGGGCCAATTAACACCACTGAGCGTATCATCAAATGAAATACTGACCCCAAATACATTAGTTCAGTCACCAAATTTATCATTTTATGACGAAGCAGTGCAGAGTTTTGCCTATTCGTAAATTCGGTCGTAGGTTGTGGCGTGGGGATACATCTCAAAATGGGGTAAGGGACCAGTTAACATCACTAGGTATATCTACAATTGAGAGAATGACCAAATTTGCTATTTTATGACGCAACAGTGCAGAGTTATGCCCATTCATATATGTGGGTTCTCGGTCATAGGTTTCTAGGATAGGGTTACCCCCGAAAATGGCACAAGGGGGCATCGGACATATACGAAAACCATTTCATATGAAAGCTTGGCCCTGACACCCTGAGGCCAATTGTCAGTTTCATTTGTTTCGCTTAAAAATTGACGACTTTATGCTTGTCTGAAGTTTGCCCTTTTAAGGAAAATAATTTAAAGAATTTAGCATTTACCCTCAAAATTTGCCACTTTCCGGTACTCCGATTTTGGTAAACTTTTAGAATGTGATTCAGTACACTGACCTCTACCAGAAACCACCAAAAAGACCTAACAATTAATCTCAAAATTAGGAACTTTCCGGAAGTCCCATTTTGGTAAACTTTTAGGATGTCATACAATAGACCCAACACTACCAATAACCATCAAAAAACCTTGTCTTGCTCGTAGTTGGGGGTAGACTCCCTTTTTTTCGTATATTGACTGGACTAGTGGGAATATCTTGCATGGCAACCGTTGGTTTAGCTTGGTCTCTTTTCATCTCTTGTAAAATGTAGGCGTATCTTGCATGTATGTATTATGTTACTCCCTGGTTTTCAGTTTTGATAAACACTGCAAGTATTTTAATTGTTTTGTTTGCATCTAAAGACACCTTAAATTAGCTTCAAGCTTGACATTAATTAGCTGTCTTTTTATGTACAGGAGGAAATGGATAAAGAATTTGCCGTTTCATTGGTACAAGGTCAGGGTTACCATGACACAACTCCAGTGCCTGCACCAATATCACAACCATTCCCTACAGATCCTACAAACAGGCGTAATCTAGATTTTCTACATGTTAATAATTTAAACTTTGGACCTCACCACTGGCATTCTCCACCCAGAAGGAGAGCAGCTCATAATGCTCGTGCTGCTGCTGTTGTGCGAAATAGAAGACTAGCAACGACTGGTATGAAGTTATTGCTCACAAGTTCTCAAATTTACCCTTTTTATTAGGATAAAAAAATATGCAGTTTCTCAGACACCAGTTTATCTCCCTAAGATCTTGGTTCCTTTCGATATTGGCATGTATCGGACTGTAACTTCATGGATTTTGGCCCCTGTTTGTACGAAAAATTGCGTTTTTAGCTTGTGGACCCTATAGAGGTCACAATTTTTATACGCCCACATGGAAATGTGGTCATATATTGCCGTCGCCCCCGTCCGTCCGTCATCCACAATTTCTTGTGAACACTCTACAGACTATACATTTATCATCTGATTGTTTTGAAATTGATATATGTTGTTTGCATTAGTGACAAAAGTTATCAACCAATCTGTATGAAATTTATATGCATCATTTGAATTAGTAAAACAAAGAATCCTGTTGAATTTAAGCAATTTCCGTTAATTACATCTAGAGTTATGGCCCTTGTTTCACTTTGTTGAATCTTGTGAACGCTCTAATGACAACAGTTATAATCCGATCTGTGAATAATCTTACGACAAAAGTTATCCAATCTTTATGAAATTTATATGCATCATTTAAATTAGTGAAACGAAGAAGCCTATTGAATTTCAGCAATTTCCGTTAATTACGCCTTGGGTTATGGCCCTTGTTTAACTTTGTTGTACCTTGTGAATAATCTTACGACAAAAGTTATCCAATCTTTATGAAATTCATATGCATCATTTAAATTAGTGAAATGAAGATGCCTATTGAATGTCAGCAATTTCCGACAATTACTTCTAGAGTTATGGCCTTTGTTTTACTTTGTTGAACTTTGTAAACGTTCGAACAACAAAAGTTATCATCCTATCTGTATGAAATTTATATGCATTCTTTGAATTAGTAAAACAAAATAGCCTATCGAATTTCAACAATTTCTGTAGATTACTTCCAGTGTTATGGCCCTTGTTTTAGTTTTTAGAACCTTGTGAACCCTCAAACGACGAAAATTATAATGTCTTACTGTATGAAATTGTCTATTAAATGCCCCATGATTTCCTACAAAAGAATAAATATGTGACAACCCTTGTCGACTGCTCGGACGATTTAGCTGCTGTGGGTGTATGTTTTGTTGCCTGGCAACCTGTCTTTATCTGATTTTGTTGAAATTGGAAATGTAAGTTTATAACCCAAAGATCTTGGTTCCTTTCAGTATTTGCGCATATCGGACCGTAACTTCCTGAATTATGGCCCATGATTGTACGAAAAATCATGTTCTTTATGGAGGTCACAATTTTATTCCGATTTAAAAAAAATGTTTGAATATATCACCGCTACACCTTAATTTCATGAAAATCGGACCAAAACTCTCGGACAAAATGGCCGCCCCTCGATCGCAAACAGTGTAAAAATATGGTATATCAAGGTTGTGGACCCTCTAGAGCTCACAACTTGAAATACATGTTTATAACTCAAAGATCTTGGTTCCTTTCGATATTTGTGCATATCGGACCATAACTTCCTGGATTATGGCCCTTGACTGTACGAAAAATTACGTTTTTAGCTTGTGGTTCCTCTAGAGTTCACAATTATTATCCGATTTAAAAAAACATTTGAATATATCACGGTTACGTCGTAATGATAGTCAAAGTTCAAATTTCATAAAAATCGGACCAAAACTGACAGACAAAATGGCTGTCCCTCGTATAACGCAAATGGTGTAAATATGTGGTATATCAAGGTTGTAGACCCTCAAGAGGCCACAATTTTTTTCCGATTCTGGTCCAACCTTAAATTTAATCTTATATCACAAAGATCTTGGATCCTTTCGATATTAGCGCATATCAGATCGTAACTTCCTGAATTATAACCCTTGATCGTATGAAAAATCGCATTTTAAGCTCTAGAGGTAACAATTTTTATCCAATTTAAAAGATAAATATGCCCACAGCCGCTAAATCGTCCGAGCGGTTGACAAAGGTTGTCACATATTTATTCCTTTGTATGTAATTACAAGACTATTCCATACAGAAATTGTTGAAATTTTACAGGCTTTTTCGTTTTACTAATTTAAATAATGCATATAAATTTCATACAAATCAGATGAACACTTTTGTCGTTCAAACGTTCACAAGGTTCACAATCGCCATAACTCTAGAAATTATTGACGGAAATTGCTGAAATTCAATAGATCAGTTTCACAAATTTAAATGATGCATATGAATTTCATACATATCGAATGATAACTTTCATTAATCGAGCATTAACCAGGTTGAAAAAAGTTAAACAAAGACCATAACTCTAGAAGTAATTATTGTAAATTGCTGAAATTCAATAGGATTCCTGGTTTCACTAATTTAAATAATGCATATAAATTTCACAAGATCGGATGATAACTTTTGGCGTTAGAGCGTTCACAAGATTCAATAAAGTGAAACGAGCCATAATTCTAGATGTAATAAATTTCATACAGATCAGCAGGTATAGAGCATTCACAGTGCATGCAACAAAGTGAAACAAGGGCCATAACTAAGTAATAAACGGAAATTGCTGAAATTCAATAGGATTCTTCTCTTTACTAATTTAAATGATGCATGTAAATTTCATACAGATCGGCAGATAACTTTTGATGTTAGAACGTTCACAAGGTTCAATAAAGTGAAACAAGGGCCATAACTCTAGACAATAAACGGAAATTGCTGAAATTCAATAGGCTTCTTGGTTTCACTAATTTGAATAATGGATATAAATTTCAGAAAGATCGAATGATAACTTTTGGTGTTAGAACGTTCACAAGGTTCAATAAAGTGAAACAAGGTCCATAACTCTAGACATAATGAACAGAAATTATTGAAATTAAATAGGCTTCTTTGTTTCACTAATTTAAATGCATATAAATTTCACAAAGATTGGGTGATGACTTTTGGCGTTAGAGCGTTCACAAGGTTCAATAAAGTGAAACAAGGGCCATAACTCTAGTTGTAATTAACGGATATTGCTGTTCTTTGTTTTACTAATTCAAAATAATGCATATAAATTTCAGAAAGATTGGATGATAACTTTTCGCGTTAGAGCGTTCACAAGGTTCAATAAAGTGAAACAAGGACCATAACTCTAGACATAATAAACGGAAATTGCTGAAATTCAATTAGTTTCTTCATCTCGCTAATGTAAAGCACTAAAACAATCGAATCATAAATTTTGGACGGACGGATGCGACGACAAAATACGACCACATTTCCATGTGGGCATATAAAAAAAGTTTGAATATATCACCGCTCCACCCTAATGATGGTTGATTTCGAATTTCGTAAAAATCGGATCAAAACTGTTGGACAAAATAGCGGCCCCTTTAATGCTAATAGTGTAAAAATATGGTATATCAAGGTTGTGGACTTTCTAGAGGTCACAATTTTCACCCGATTTTGATGAAATTTGAAATGCATGTTTATAACCCAAAGATCAATATTCGCGCATATCGGATCATAACCTCCTGAATTTTGGCCCCTGATTGTGCCGGACAAAATGGCTGCCCCTCGTACACAAACAGTGTAAAAATATGGTATATCAAGGTTGTGGGCCCTCTAGAGCTCACAATTTTTATCCGATTTCAATGAAACTTGAAATATAGGTTTAACTCCTTAAGATCTTGGTTCCTTTCGATATTGGCATGTATCGGACCGTAACTTCGTGGATTATGGCCCTGATTGTAAGAAAAATCGTGTTTTTAGCTTTTGGATGCCCCTCGTATACTAATAGTGTAAAAATATGGTATATCAAGGTTGTGGACTCTCTAGAGGTCACAATTTTCATCTGATTTTGATGAAACTTGTAATGCATGTTTATAACCCAAAGATCTTGGTTCCTTTCGATATTCGCACATATCAGATCGTAACTTCCTGAATTGTGGCCCCTGATTTTAAGAAATATAGTGTTTTTAGCTTGTGGTCCCTCCAGGGGTCACAATTATTATCTGATTTAAAAAAACGTTCGAATATGTCACTGTTACACTGTATTGTTGGTTGAGTTTGAATTTCATGAAAATCAGACCAGAATTGCCAGACAAAATGGCCGCCCCTCTACCCAAATAGTGTAAACATCTGGTATATCAAGGTTGTGGACCCTCTAGAGGTCACAATTTTTATCCGATTTTAATCAAACTTGAAATGCATGTTTATAACCCAATGATCTTGGTTCATGTCGATATTCGCAGATATCTGATCGTACCTTCCTGAATTATGGCCCTTGATAAGTTGATGTTATGAGAAATCGCTTTTTATACGCCCACATTGAAATGTGGTCGTATATTGTCGTCACCCCCGTCCGTCCGTCTGTCCGTCCGGCGTCCACAATTCCTTGTGGAATCTCTAGAGGCTAAAGTTAATATCCGATTGACTTTAAATTTATACACAGTGTTTAAGGTCATGAGACAAGCCTATTGATTTTCAGCGATTTCCGATAATTACTGCCAGAGTTATGGCCCTTGATCACTTCAAAAAATCTTGAGGAAGCTCTAGAGGCTAAAGTTAATATCTGATTGACTTTTAAAATTTATACACAGTGTTTAAGGTCATGAGACGAAGAAGCCTATTTATTTTCAGCGATTTACGATAATTTCTGCCAGAGTTATGGCCCTTGATCACTTCAAAAAATTTGTGGACGCTCTAGAGGCTAAAGTTAATGTCCGATTTACTTTAAATTTATACACAGTGTTTAAGGTCATGAGACGAAGAAGCCTATTGATTTTCAGCGATTTCAGATAATTACTGCCGGAGTTATGGTCCTTGATCACTTTCAAAAATCTTGTGGATGCTCTAGAAGCCCAGGTTAATATCCGATTAACTTTAAATTTATACACAGTGTTTAATGTCATGAGACGAAGAAGCCCATTGATTTTCAGCGATTTCCGATAATTCCTGCCAGAGTTATGGCCCTTGATCCCTTTGAAAAATCTTGTGGATGCTCTAGAGGCTAAAGTTAATATCCGATTGACTTTTAATTTATACACAGTGTTTAATGTCATGAGACGAAGCCTATTGATTTTCGGCGATTTCTGATAAGTACTGCCCGAGTTATGGCTCTTGATCACTTTGAAAAATCTTGTGGACGCTCTAGAGGCTAAAGTTAATATCCAATTGACTTTTAATTTATACACGGTATTTAATGTCATGAGACGAAGAAGTCTAATGATTTTCGGCGATTTCTGATAAGTACTGCCAGAGTTATGGCCCTTGATCACTTTGAAAAATCTTGTGGACGCACTAGAGGTCAAAGTTAATATTTGATTGACTTTAAATTTATACACAATGTTTAAGGTCATGAGACGAAGAAGCCTATTGATCACTTTGAAAAATCTTGTGGACACTCTAGAGGCTAAAGTTAATATCCAATTGACTTTAAATTTATGCACAGTGTTTAAGGTCATGAGATGAAGAAGCCTATTAATTTTTAGCGATTTTGTGATAATTACTGCCAGTGTTATGGCCCTTGATCACTTCAAAAAATCTTGTAAATGCTGTAGTGGCTACAGTTAATATCTGATTGACTTCAAATTTCTACAGTGTTTGAGGTCATGAGATGAAGAATCGTATTGATTTTCAACGATTTTCGATAATTACTGCCAGAGTTATGGCCCTTGATCACTTCAAAAAATCTTGTAAATGTTCTAGAGGCTACAGTTAATATCCGATTGACTTTAAATTTATACACAGTGTTTGAGACCAAGAATCATATTGATTTTCAACTATTTCCGATAATTACTGCTGTAGAGGCTAAAGTTATCATCCGATTGACTTCAGATTGATACACAGAGTTTAAGGTCTTGAGACGAACAAGTATATTGATTTTCAATGAATTTTTATGACTTGAACAACTAAATCCATGATGTTAAAAGTTTCGTATACTAAACATTAGCATGGGGCAGAACTTTATAAAAAACAAACAAATTCTAATGGTTTTCTGATAATTACTTAATTATTTGTTACTTATTATTTGTAATGTCACCATTACACCCTAAGGATGGTTGAGTTTGAATTTCATGAAAATTAGATTAAAACTGCAGGACAACATAGTGTAAACATCTGGTATATCAAAGTTGTGGACCCTCTAGAGGCCACGATTGTGATGAAACTTGAAATGCAAGTTTATAACCCAAAGATCTTGGTTCCTTTCAAATATTCGCGCATATCGGATCGTAACTTCCTGAATTTTGGGCCCTGATTGTACGCAAAATCACGTTTTTAGCTTGTGGTCCCTCTAGAGGTCACAATTATTATTCGATTTAAAAAAACGTTTGAATATATCACCGTTACACTGTAATGTTTGTTTTTTGCTTGTTCTCTATCCATCTCTTGCAAAATGTGGGCGTATTTTGTCTGGCAGTCGCTGGTTATCCCATTTTGATGAAACTTAAAATATATGTTTATATTTCAAAGATCTCAGCTCTTTTCGATATTGTCATATCTTGGGAATGTATTATTATGGCTGGATTATGGCTGCTGATTGTACGAACAATTGCTTTTTTATACGCCCACATTGAAATGCGGTCATATATTGTTGACGCTCCCGTCGATCGGTCCGGCCGGCAGTCCAGGCTTGTGGACGCTCTAGAGGCTAAAGTTGGTATCTGATTGACTTTAAATTTATACACAGTGTTATGAACTTAAAAGTTCATGAGACAAAGAAACCTATTGATTTTCAACGATTTCCGATAATTACTGCCAGAGGTATGGCCGTTGATCACTTTGAAAAATCTTTTGGATGCTTTAGAGACCATAGTTATATCATCTGATTGGTTTTACATTTATACACTGTGTGTACGGTCATGAGGCGAAGATGCCTATAATATACAATCATTCGATTGACTTAAAATTGATACACAGAGATTAAGGTCTTGAGACGAACAAGTATATTGATTTTCAATGATTTTTGATAATTTGAACAGCTAAATGCATAAAATGTAATGTCTTGTATACTAAACGTTAGCATGGGGCAGAACTAGAAGCCAAACAGATTCTAATGATTTTCTTATAATTACTTAATGAGTTGTTACTCTTAATCAGATTTTAGTGTATTATAAATGTTTCATTACCGACAAAAGTAAAAATATGCGTCAATTCTTGTTGACTTCCCAGACTATTTATCTGTCGTTGCGTATATTTCGTTGCCTGACAACCTATCTTTTAGCTTGCTCTGTCCATCTCTTGCAAAATCTGGGCATATTTTGCATGGCAACTGCTTGTTTTAACACTTGTTCCATACGGTACTTTTTTTTAAGTTAATTGGCAGTGATGAAATTCATCAAAGCTGCATCACAGGTATATTTATAAAAATGTTTTCGTACTTGAAGCCACTGGCTTGATGAGTATGGCGCTGGCTCACCAACCAGGCACCGTCTTAATTGTATGCCCTCTGTTTTGGCAGAAAAATTATCTTGGTATTTAACATCCTGGTGTTTCCTCGTCATTGGATGGAGGAAAGTCGCCTCGTCATTGTATGGCACCTAAAACCAATGTCAGGTGTAGAACACTGGCAACACATTAAAGATCCCTTGACAGTTGGAAATTGAAATAATTGTAGACTGTAGCCAGTCAAATAAGAATTATATAAATGAATTTTGTTGTTACTTGTAGCTGATATGCATGTTGATATCGACATGATCGATGGTGCAAGTGATGGATTTAACGCAAATTATGGGGTAAGTTACTGACGATAGAATACGTAATTGTCCCCCACCTTTCAAAGATAGCAGGGGACTATAAAAATGGGTTCGTCTGTCTGTCTGTCTGTCAGCAGAGATAAGCAATTTGATTGGTTGATGCTTTGGGACACAATAACTTTAGTTCTGATTAAGTGAGAGTGATCAAACTTGGTGTATAGTTTCATTACATCAATACCTTGACTAAGTTCGATAATGAACTTTTTCTGCGCAGGATAAGCAGAGTGATGTTCAATTTGATTGGTTGAGACTTTGGAACTCAATAACTTTCCTTCCAATTGAGCAACAATGATCACACTAGGTGTAGGTTATTTTCTGCTAAGGGTAAGCAGAGATAAACAATTTGATTGGTTGATGCTTTTGAACATGATAACTAATTAAGTGTGGTTGATGCTTTGGAACATGATAACTAATTAAGTGAGAGTGATGAACACCAGTTTCATCACATCAATACCTTGACTAAGTTCAATAATGAACATTCTCTGCTGAGGGTAAGCAGAGCGATAAGCAATTTGATTGGTCAAGACTTTAAAACACAATAACTCTCCTTCTAATTTTAAGTTGAATGTTCAAACTTGGTGTAGGCGTTCATTAGGTGAATGCCTTGATGGAGTTCGATGATGAACATTGTCTGCTTACGGTAAGCAGAGATAAGCAATTTGATTGCTTATTAAAGTGAGAGCTATGAAACTCCAAGTATAGATTCATTGTATCATTACCTTGACTAAGTTTGATGAGAATTTTCTGCTTAGGCTAAGGAGCGATAAGCAATTTGATTGGTCAAAACTTTGGAACATAACAACTCTGCTTTTACCGTAATTGACGTAGAATGTTTAAACTTGATGTTGATGTTCATTAGGTGATTGTCTTGACTGAGTTCAATGTAACATTGACTGAAGCTAAGCAGAGCTAAGCAATTTCTTTGACTTTGATTCTGTCTGATAGGGAGTGATGAAACTTAGTGTATAGTTGATAATCAGTTTGATTGCTCGATACTTTTGAAAAAATTAAACTTGCAATCAATTAATATGTGTCATCTATTTATTTTGGGATTTTGGTGTGGGTCATCATCCTCACTGTTGGCTTGTTATTGATGGAAACTGTTCATATTAATAAGTTGGTATTGTACGGACATAGCGATGGTTTGACAGAACACAATATTACCGTGTTTCCTATTGGGGAATTCCGTGATTTACTTAGTGAATATCAAATGAATATTGAGTGACACAATGGCATTGTCTCAGTGTTGAAAACACGGTGTGACTCCGATCCGTGTTTCAATTAAAACATGCCTTTGGTCGTTTAGTTTAGGTGAAGTACATGTAGGACTGTAATATATCAGTTACTAGCATTTGATGGCTATTTCGAAATTAAAACAGGAATACACACATTTTTCAAACAACCTGAGCACTGTCATTCTGTCTTTTTCTAAACAGAAATATGCCTATACCAATACATTACTTCATTTACATGTTCAACATTTTTAAGACTTGCATCCATCGACTATTACAAATTCATTCAAATTATGGAAAAATTATAAAATTTGCACCAATAGATGCTAGTCTTACCGGGGGGCATAGTTTTATCCATCTAAATACTTTTTCACATTCTTACAAATAAGCCACACAATGCATCTAATATCGGTAAATGATACATCAAGTAATATATTTTCTGATTTAAATCACAAATGAATTAAAAGCCTGCGTCTCCTGATATGTAAGCACACATCGTCAGAATTCACTGTCAACAAGTTTATGGAACTTTGCCGAATACAATTATATACGTGGACATGTATCAGTCCGATAATACCTTGCTGACTTTTTAATTTCGACACCAAAGAGTCTTGGTGGATGTATACTGTCAATCAAGGTTCCATAATGTGAATTGACATGTGACATCAAAAGAAACCGATTGACAGAAAATAGACACCCCTTTAACAACAAATTGCTACCATGTTGTAGACAATACTACTTTTATTGTAAATTTTTAGTAGTTATAATTACCCAAATTTTTTTTACATCATTTTTAAAGAACAATCACAATTGTTACGCTGCCAATCAGTGTTCATTTGAAATGGTTGCCATTCAATGGCTGCTTCTTTGTATATATACCACATATATACTGTATAAGGCACATGTCATTTGTAATAAAATTCACAGAAAGATATAAATGTCTTTTAATTCCTGCCAAATTATTTAATTTACGTGACTAGCAACAGTCCCAGAATTGCCACCATGAGATACCGACTGGTTGACACTACTTCCCGGTATTTTATTAACAACACTATTTAAACAGTCTCAAAAGGACACAAAGATACAAATAAATGTAAACAGTTTGATTAAGATTAAGATAGACAAAATAATAAAAGTATTTATATTATCATGATGCCATGTGCCGATGGGTTCAAAGTTGAAGACAATTAATATACGGACTATTGCCATGTCATTGATATCTTCCTTCACGGCTAGAGAAACAACCACGTGTGTAGTAAATTCTTTGGACTGACATGTTATCTTACTTATTTTGTATTTAAAAATCCAAGGGTATGCTTTTAATTATTTATGTCAGAACAAATCATCAACCAGTTTGGAACAGTTCATTTCGTAACCTGTCAAAGTAGGGAAGGGTAAAGAAATGAAATGCCAAGAATGAATAAATTGACGAACCATTAACTTAGAAGCATATCACTAATAATTTAAACTTATTTAGTATGATCAAGTCTTCCGATGCCCTGCTATATTGTGCAACAGATATTTTAATCTATAGATAAGTAATAAATGTGAATAAATCGCGGATACTGGTTACCGTTGGGTTTTCAACCACCAAGTAACTGACATTAGCTATTGCTGAAATAGAAACAGTATTAAACTAAACAAAGATCTCAGTTCCTTTCGCTATTTCCGCATATCAGATTGTAACTTCCTGGATTATGGCACCTGATTGTAAGAAAAATCTTGTTTTTTAGCTTGTGGATTCTCTAGAGGCTACAATTTTTTATCTGATTTTAAAAACCATTTCATTATATCACCATTCCACCATAATGAAGGTTGAAGTCAAATTTTGTGAAAATCGAAACTAAACTACCTGACAAAATTGCTGCTCTTTGTACACAAATTGTATATAAGTATGTTATATAAAGGTTTTGGACCATCTAGAGGTCACAATTTTTATCCGATTTTAATGAAACTTAAAATATATGTTTATGTCTATAAAGATCTCGGTCAGTTTTGATATTTGCGCACTTCAGACCATAACTTTCTGGATTATGACCCCAGATTGTACGAAAAATCGCTTTTATTTTTAGGATGTTCTCTATCCATCTCTTGCAAAATGTGGGCCTATCTTGCCTGGCAACTGCTGGTTGATATTGTATTATTATCCTTAATCGGTTCTCAATTATTATCCATTTTGTAAGCACGGGCCCTTGAAGGGATTAAAATAAAATTTCTTACTACTCTTTGACTATATATTACAGTAATAAGAAAATGTATCAGCTGACATTTTGTTTTGACTTGTTGACGACATTTTGTCTGCTATCATCTCACAATACTCACTAGTTCTAACACTTTCTTTTGCTTTTATTGCCAACTAAACTTTATTTGATCATTATACACCTTCCAATATAATTAAATTGGTCATTTTACAGCGTTATTAATCGTCCCCCGCCTTTCGAAGAAAGCAGGGGACTATTAAAATGGGTACGTCTGTCTGTCTGTCCGTCCGTCTGTCCGTCACACTTTTTGGGACACAATAACTCTCCTTCTAATTGAGCTAGAATGTTCAAACTTGGTGTAGGTGTTTATTAGGTCAATGCCTTGATGGAGTTCGAAGATGAGCATTTTCAGGTTAGGGTAAGCAGAGATAAGCAATTTGATTGGTTGATGCTTTGGGAAACGATAACTTTAGTTCCAATTAAGTGAGAGTGATGAAACTTGGTGTATAGTTTCATTACATCAATATCTTGACTAAATTCGATGATGAGCATTTTCTGCACAGGGTAAGCAGAGCGATAAGCAATTTGATTGGCCGAGAGTTTGGAACACAATAACTCTCCTTCTAATTAAGCTTGAATGTTCAAACTTGGTGTAGGGGTTTATGAGGTCAATGCCTTGATGGAGTGCGAAGATCAGCATTTTCTGCTTAGGAATAAGCAGAGATAAGCAATTTGATTGGTCGATGCTTTCGTACACGATAACTTTAGTTCTCATTAAGTGAGAGTGATGACACTTGGTGTATAGTTTCATTACATCAATACCTTGACTAAGTTCGATGATGAGAATTTTCTGCTTAGGCTAACGAGCAATACGCATTTTGATTGGTCACGACTTTGGAACATAACAACTCTTCTTCTAATTGAGGTAGAATGTTTAAACTTGATGTAGATGATCGTCTTGACTGAGTTCAATGATTAACATATCGAGCTAAAGCTAAGCAAAGATAAGCAATTTCCTGCTTTGGGACAAGATAACTTTGATTCTATCTGATAGAGAGTGATGAAACTTAGTGTATAGTTGATAATCAGTTTGACTGCTTGATACTTTGGAAAAAAATAGATGTGTGATTAATTAATATGTGTCATCTATTTATTTGGGGATTTCGGCGGGGGACATCAGCCTCACTGTTGGCTTGTTACAAATCAAACTTGAAGCGTGATCACTTGGCTATTCGTATCTTAGACGGACCAGAAGTAAGACGAAATGAGGTCAATGACCTCATGTTGGGGAAGCCCTGATTTTTGATTGGTCGAGGCGTGTTACCAAAACTAAAATTGACCTTCATATATATAGCTGATCGCGAATTAAGAATCTCAGAATGACAGCTGAATATTCTCATTGGTAGGTAACATACTTAGGAAAATACATACTTTGGAAAATTTAATGGATCAAAAGTAAAATGACTTTATAAGGGTGATAATTATAATTAAACAATTTTATTTCTGAAACCTGCGTAGACGTAAAACTGTGTCGTGTGTGTGTGGGGGGGGGGGCACATATCTCTCGGGTAGACAGGTAAAGTGATAAAAAATTAAAATATTTTTTGGGAAAAAATATTTTGCCTTTAAGTCGGCAAAAATGAAGTGCCCGTAATGAAGAAATAAACCGGAAATCTCCGATCATGTTTCGGCCGATATCTGCTATAATAGATTTTTCAAGCATCGATCATTATAAAAAATTATTTGTTTCATCAATTTTTCAGAAACCGTTATTTTTTTAAATTGTCTAATAAATTTAAAATATCTAAAATCAGTGTAAAAAAAACCGGCGTCTAGTGGCATTCTATAACTTCAAAAGCCTGAATTTTTCACCCGACAAACACGGTGAATAATAGAGCCTACAAAGTGAGGTCGCTGTTGAGCGAGACCGCAGGCCGCGTGTTTTTTTTTGGTGCAGCCTGGATCACCCAGTTCCTGGGCAAATTTTGACTAATGGATAGGTTTATAAAGGGACTGGGTGATACAGACTGCTACAAACAAAAGCAATAGGGAATTCCTTTGACCACATTTCGTCGTACTTCCGGTCCGTCTAAGATACGAATAGCCAAGTGATCACGCTTCAAGTTTGATTTGTAATTAATAACGCTGTAAAATTACCAATTTAATTACATTGGAAGGTGTATAATGATCAAATAAAGTTTCGTTGGCAATAAAAACGACGGGAAGTGTTAGAACTAGTGAGTATTGTGAGATGATAGCAGACGAAATGTCGCCAACAAGTCAAAACAAAATGTCAGCTGATACACCTTCTTATTACTGTAATATATAGGCCTAGTCAAAGAGTAGTAAGAAATTTTATTTTAATCCCTTCAAGTGCCTGTGTTTGTAAGGTATGTATCAATATATTGTAGGTAGAGTCATAGAGCAAGAACCGCCAAAGGCAACTCTGATCATCATAAATCTTAACATGTTAGCATTCATGACGTAAATAATTGCTTGATTTATTTATTTGCTGCTGAAAGAGTTGAGACAAGATTTTGAAACATTGTCCATTTGTTCATGTTGGTACCGTTTTCAGTTCTAGTTTGTATTTGTTTTTTTCTTTTCAGGTAAATTTATTGAATCCAAGATATGTGGGAGCAAGTAATGCGTTAGGTAATAAATCATTATGAAATTGTTTGTTTTAGGACCTTCTTTTAACCAGGTAGATTAAACTCCTTCACATGTTATTGTTATAGAAATTTTTATACGCCCACATTTTCATGTGGACGTATATTCAACCATTTGCCCATCCATTCGTCCATGCACATTATGTTTTTGGACACTCTGCAGGTCACATATTTTATCCAATTTTAACGAAACTTGAAATATAGGTTTATATTCCAAAGATCTCGATTCTTTTCGATATTCGGGCATATCGGACCATAACTTCCTGAATTATTGCCCCTCTAGAGGTCACACTTTTGATGAAACTTAAAATGTATGTTTACAGCCCGAAGATCTCAGTTCTTTTAGATATTTGTGCATATCGAACTATAACTTTATGTAAAATAATCATAAAATATGATTGAAAAATGTCATAAAGATCATAAAATTCCACTAAATGGTTTCATAAAAATATATATTTTTGTCAAAAATCTGTGCACTTTCCCTGTATATGTTTAAATTTGGTTTGTAAAATGAGCAGTTGCCGAGAAATATTTAATTTTGCATGGGTCACTTTTCGTGTTATCTTGCATGTAAAAGAGGCAATTATTAATGGATTTCCATAAAAGTTATACCATTTGATGCATAAAGCAAATATGCGTTATATCAAATTGTTTACAATTTAAAGTTGATGCCATTTTGTCATGGCATGATTTTTTTTTCAAGTCACTTTTCAATGGGTTTTTTTTGGTCCATAAAAGTTTTGATTATTTTTCGATTTTCATAAAATTTTAACCATATGAAGCCTAATGGCATTTATGGTTTCCTAAAATGAATTAGAAATTTTCATTACCACCCAGGGCTGTCGGTAATTTTTCACATTTGATTAGCAGCACTGCTAATCAAAAAGTCCAATTTTGCCAAATTTGATTAGCAAATTTAAAAATTGATTAGCAGTTTTTCAGTTTCAACGTAAAACACCTAAATAACAAGATTTACTTTAATTCATAACAAATATGGTTAGATTCCATTCTGACTATTCTTAGATTTTTTAGCACTGCCACAAGTACTTGTGACAGTTTGTGAATGTGATGTAGACATTTAGTTAGTTCTTATGCCTGAAGCCAATTCTTGACAGTGACTTCCGAAGCCCCACTCATTTTAATTGTTATTTTTTTTGTTACGTTAGAAATCTTCGTCTGCTTTTTATCGTCATTAACTAGACACACGCGATATAAACAATAATATTTTACGGGAATTTTTACTTTGATTTATCATTTTACAATACGTTAACATGTATTTATTTTTTTATATTTTATTTACAATACGTGGGGGATACACTGGATTTATTTCTTTCAAAATGAATATGATATAATTACTTGATGTCTCGCAACGTGAGTGGTACTACTTGATTCCCTATTTCCGGTTTAATAGACCCTTTTCATAGAGTTATGTCCCTGTGTTATATAGTATTGTGTCTGGGTAGTTCGAGAAGAAAATGTCACACGGAGAATTCAGTTTTGTTTATAAAATTTTATTCAACATTTTATACACGTTGAAAGTGTTGAGTAAGCCTTCTAGTCTTCAAAATGTGGATTATTCTTGTGTCAATATCCAAAATGACAGGCATATTAATGATTCACAGAGTCTGGTGGATGCATACTGTCAATCAAAGTTCCATAATGAGAATTGACACGTAACAACAAAAGAAACCGATTGTCAGAACGTAGACACCCCTTTAACAACAAACTGTTACCTTGCTGTAGTTGTGTGGACAATATGATTTTTATTGTTAATTGTCAGTAGTAATAATTACAAATTTTGAAAAGAGATGTCGATGTATTTGTGATTTTACATGTAGCTTCAGTCCATTCAATAACCTGTATTTACTACTCAAATGGTTTCTCAATTAGCAGAATGTCAAAATAAAGAAAACACAGTTACACTTACAATATGACTAAGAAGTTATTCGTCGCGATTTGGCCGGACCCCCAATCCACCCGTTACATGTAATACCAATTTGTAACGAGTAATTGTGTTTACTGTGTTACGGTAAAACTGCTGTTTTTAGGAATGTGGATATGTGGGATTGTTTAATTTCTTTTAAATCGGTACAGACTTGAAAGTTCGTGCATGCAGAGCGTCTTCTGAACAAACTGATGTTTAGTCATCAAATTTGCAGTTGACATATTCTGTCAAAATAATTCCTTACACCAGTGGTAATTATTTCATTGTATTGTGCACAAACGTCATTCCTTAAATAGCCCCACGCCCCTTTAACAACTTATAAAGCATGATTTTTCTGTAAGGCAATTTATTCTACACTTTTTGATGTGCTTTATAACTATTGAAGAGGCTCAAATTCATAAGATCTGGTTGTTAGATGTGTTTACTCTATGTGTTGATGGATAAAACAATCAAAATTAATATTTGTGTCCGTTCAGAAGCAAACTCGTACACGGTTAAGGTAATACTAATACTTGACTCGTATATAAATTGATTGGAATAAATCAGTTTTGCTCATTGGTTGTTTATATTGTATTATTTACCTAATAATCAATTAGCTTGCCTTTCTATCACGACAGAGATTACACCGATGTTTTTGTAATAAAGAACAATAGTATTGTTTGTTGATTAGCGTTATGATTTTTGAAAAAATGATAAGTTCACCAATGTTTTTGTAATAAAGTGGACCTGTATTGTTTGTTGATTGACTTTATCCCATGATTTAAAAAAAAATTGGCGATGGTTAATATTGGGTCAAAAATAATTCCTTAAAGTGCACCAGAGCCCCTTTTAGATAAACAAAGTGGCTACGTGCAGTTTTATTCTTTGATCTTTTATACACGGGACAATTCTGTTATTCAAACCAATCTGCACGTGAATGACTACATAACAAGTTGACAGTTCATCATTGATTTGGGATTCATGTGGAATAGGCTCTTCGGTCGAAACAAGTGCCTTGGATTTTTGTGTGGATTTGATAGTGGTTATAATTAACTAATATTCTCTTATATCAGAGACTTGTGTTGCGTTCAGTTCAGTTCATTTTTACGGTAAGTACGAGCTTACGTCAGACTTGAAAGTGCGACTGCTACACCGAGTTATATATCGTGGCAATTTTCAACAAAAAACGACATGATAATCGTGTTTCGTCAAACCTTCGCGACGTTTGTACTGATACCTGCCGTCGTATGAATCCTGAAAAATAATATTTTACTGTATCGCAACAGGTCAGTACTAAAACTAACACTTATTACAGTATTTCAACATCGTAATATCTGAACATCGCACGTGAAATTAGATGTTTGGCAACAAAATTGACAACCTTGCGTAATTGGACACCTTGACTGATTTTAATCACGGCTCGGGAAATTGAACGGTCCAACTAATTATTGAACAGTCGTGCCATTTAGACAGGACGCCTATATTTCAACAAGTGTCGAGAAACTAAGCGCTTGGTAATCAAAATTAAACAGTGAGATAGAAATTCGATAGAAGTACAAATTGAGCACTATTCGCCGAAATTCAACAATATTTATGAATAATTAGAGTAGAAATTAACGCTATTTACGCCAGATTAAACGGTACCAATGTTACAGTGTAGACACCTGGGTAAATTTCAACCAGATTTCAAACAAGTTACATTTCGACTTGTACAACAAACCCACCGACACACACTCATACATTCTATATACATCACGCCACCCTGCTCATATTAAGACGAAAGGACCTTTCAGTCAATTTCTACGACTTAAACGAATCTGCAGCTTAGAAATAGACTATGAATAGGTGTCACAGCTCTATTGCCTGCGTTGGAAGAAAGACGTTTTTTCCGGATTTGTAACCTTTTTAACGCCAACATAGAAATGTGGACGTATATTGCCGTCGCGTCCGTCCATCGTCCACAATTTCTTGTGAACGCTTTAATGCCAAAAGTTATCATCCAGTTGTTTTAAAATTGATATATGTTTGCATTAGTGAGATGAAATTTATATGCAATATTTAAATTATGGAAACAAAGAACCCTATTGAATTTTAGCAATTTCCGTTTATTACTTCTAGAGTTATGGCCCTTGTTTCACTTTGTTTAACCTTGTGAACGCACTAACGACAAAGGTTTTCATCCTATCTGAAATTCATATGCATTATTTAAATTAGTGAAACGTAGAAGCCTATTGAATTTCAGCAATTTCCGTTTGTTACGTCTAGAGTTATGGCCCCTGTTTCACTTTATTGAACCTTGTGAACGCTCTAACGCCAAAAGTTATCACCCAATCTTTGTGAAATTTATATGCATGATATAAATTAGTAAAACGAAGAAGCCTATTTAATTTCAATAATTTCTGTTCATTACGTCTAGAGTTATGGCCCTTGTTTCACTTTATTGAGCCTTGTCTTTTTGAAATTTATATGCATGATTTAAATTAGTGAAACGAAGAATCCTATTTAATTTCAATAATTTCTGTTCATTAAGTCTAGAGTTATGGCCCTTGTTTTACTTTATTGAACCTTGTGAACACTCTAACGTCAAAAGTTATCATCCGATTTCGTTGAAAATTATATGCATTGTTGAAATTAGTGAAACGAAGAAGCCTATTGAATTTCAGCAATTTCTGTTCATTATGTCTAGAGTTATGTCCCTTGTTTCACTTTATTGAACCTTGTGAACGCTCTAACATCAAAAGTTATCTGACGATCTGTATGAAATTTGCACGGCAGGTATCGAATTTGACGAAAAAAATGTGTGTAACATTTTTTCGCTTATTGTTACTGAATAACATGATTATTCAATAAAAACAATACACACATATCATAATTGACCTGTTTTAGTGTTCGACCATCTGTCCTTTCATTATTGTCGTTATATTCCAACTGCATCGCAATTTTAGTTTTAGCATGTTTTCTGTCAATGTCTTGCAAAATGTGGACATATCCTGCATGGGAACCGCTTGTATTTTACAGTTATTTCCCCGGAATCCTATCTAGGATGAAAATAATACCTTGGATCAAGGTAAACATTTTTATGTGAGTTTGAAAGAAACTTGGATGGTTTCTGGCATAATTCCACGAAAACAAGTTAACATAATAATAATAAAGTTTTGAATTTCAGAAATGATGGAGAGTCATTTGATGGCTTTATTAGAAGATAATACACCGGTAGGTAACTTAATTTTTATAAGCTCACATTTGCATGTGGATGTATATTGTTGTTGCACCTCTCTCTGTCCGGACATCTGGATTAATGATTATAGTTGATTGATAATTGCCAATGATATATAAAACCTATCTCAAGTTATTATTTACTCTTAATAATTCATTCAACTGGTGATTATTTAATGTTTTGTTTCGTCTTAAAAAAATAAATTGAAATAAACGAAGTGGCCAACAATTCTTCTTGAAGAGAATTAAACATTTTATAGTTGAATTCTGTACCATGGCTTTGTACAGTATGTAAAATATACAAGCATGCCTAATTGGATATTATTATTTCAAATTTACGTCTGAAACGTAACAACAACAAATGAGTCGAATAGCGACGATTCTCGAGTGAGAAAATGGTCCACCATTTGTTTCATTACCGTTGTCTGATTGTAAGCATCTCTTACAAATGAAATGATTCTAACCTTATGAACGTTATCATTCGATCTGTATAAAATTTATATGCTTCATTTAAATTGGTGTAACAAAGAAACCTTTTGAATTTCAGCAATTTCCGTTAATTACTAATAGAGTTATGGCCCTTGTTTTACTTTGTTGAATCCTGTGAACGTTCAAATGACAAAAGTTATGATCTGATCTGTATGAAATTTATATGCATTATTTAAATTAGTAAAACGAAAAAGGCTGTCGAATTTCAACAATTTCTTTACATTACTTCCAGAGTTATGGCCCTTGCTTCAGTTTGTAGAACTTTGTGAATCCTCAAATGACGAAAATTATAATCTGATCTGTATTAAATTGTCTTGTAAATGACCCCAATTACCTAATAAAGAATAAATATGCGACAACCCTTGTCGACCGCTTGGACGATTTAGCTGCTGTGGGCGTATGTTTTGTTGCCTGACAACCTATCTTTATTTTTTTGTGATTATCATGAATATTATCCATAAATATGCTACGTAACATACATAGGAATATTTGTAGTTAAAGTCTATTAAAGGCAAGCTTTTTGACCCTATTTCTTAAAACTGATATCGATTTCTGTATATCTATTTCTTGCATTTGTTAACCCCAACTTAAAATGTCCCACAAGCAAAATTATGAAACAGAAAGTCAGCAAGTCAAGTTTTAGCAAATGTGTAGCCTCCCCACTTTTTGAGTAAATTTCCCCCTTAAAGGAGAATGCTATAGTAATTTTATCATTTACTTTGTTCATTGTGTAAAGGATTTCAGAATTATTTTAAAAAAAAAAAGTTTTAGTAACAAATAACGTTAAAAAACACTTTCGGATTTCTGCAATTATGGAAACACCTGACAATTATTGAGCTGAAGCTAAATCACGTGACATGACGTAAGAGGCGACTCTTGTGTAGCAGTCGATGTATAGTTCAATATGGCATTGGCAGAATGTGACAGCTTGTCAGACATTGATTTCACCCCGAATGTTCTTCCCAATCAGTACGAACCAATTAGAAAGGCGAGCAACAACGGTGACGACATTCTACCATTATAGCCACGAAGACTGACAAATAGGCACTAAAAACAGCGTAGGCCTACCTTGTCTAACACCACAGTCCTTGGACTTGGAGTTGGATTCTCGATAACTTTTGCTTCATTTATTGAAGTTCACGCTTCAACCACGAAAATATATCAGAGAAAAATTATTAATCCTAATAAGTTTACCCTAGCCATAGGGTAATACAGTATTATATACCCTAGACTACTTTCTTTGTGCAACAATTGAAAAACGAGGATCACATATAGGAATTTCGGCATCGGACCGGAATATTGGCGTATCACTGAAAAAATATTCTATCACACCTAGTTAAATCTGACAGGCTTCCCACATCTAGGACTATCTATGATCGACTGCAGTATTAATTTACTAGCTGGCCTAGTTGCTATGGTTACATCAGTCATTTCTATTGCTAGATTTTGAAAGCGTGTCGGTTTCACCATAGAACTATACACAGTTTTAACGTTGAAGGTAACATAACTGCTATATTTTGATCGACATAATGATATTATTAAAATTGCACTTGCTCCGAACAAAGAGAAGCGTGTTTTGACATCGCCTCATTGACATCGCTGTGTTCAGACCATTCTGCGTGTTGCCTCGCTTGGAAATTTAAAAAAAAAAATGACACATGCTTCCTGATTTATTGTTTGTGCTATTAGTACATCCCCAAACAACGCAATTGACCATGTTTGTGCTTAGAGTTAAACAAAATGACGGGATGCAGTGCTTAGTTGCAATAGCCTTCTATAGGGAAATTTACAATGTCTGTCGTCTTTAACGTCACTCACGGAAAAAATCAAAACAAGGCTGCAGATATGCATAAATGTCAATTCGGGTTTTGTTGGTATATTTTTCTTTTGTAAAAATATTAAGAATGACTTTTAAAATTTCGCAGTGTTAAATGTATTCTAATATTAACGCATTTTTCATATTAAAACAACTTTTTGCGATAGTATTCTCCTTTAACATTGCCAGACACAGGACCATTTACGAGTTTTATCATTAAACTCATTCTCATTCGGTTTGTCTCTCAATTGCCTTTCCCATTTTCTGGTCATAAGCCTAGTCGGTGCAGAAAAGTGGGACATTTCACTTCTTTTGTCTTACAACTTACAGCATTCAATTAAGTTAAGCTCATTCTCATACTTATCTCATATTTAACATAATTATTTTGTTCGTACATTGGTAGAGCTGCATATATAGACAAGACAGATACAATAATTTAATTCTATTCTGTCCCTTATGTGAATGAATGAAATATTACTCTATCGATTACAATTTCTAGCCTAGAAGAGGTAGAAGACGTGGTAACAGACGTAATCCTCGATCATATGGCACAGGCTTTTACTCTCCTGTTGGTGATGGTAATGATTATGAGGTATTATTCAGCATTTTATCCATTTTCTCGAATATGTATCGAAATTGTAGCACTAATATTTCTTGAACTCTTTTTAATTGATTTGACACAACCCTTAACAGGCCATTTCCCATGCACTTTACTTTGCTGCACATAATTTGCTTCTGAATGTTCAAAGTCAAATTGATGGTGGGGGTAACTGTTCCAGCAACCAGATTTTTACAACTATATTGCTTACTTTTTATACGCCCACATTGAAATGTGATATAATTCAATTAATAAAATACAATATAAAAAAACAGGCGCCCTTGATCACTTCAAAATATCTTGTGGATTCTCTAGGGGCTAAAAATAATATCCGATTGATTTTAACCCGTTAAGTGTGACGTTTTTAAAACGTTAACTACCCCCTATTGTGCAATTAATTTGACGAAGTGACGAAGAACAATGTACTATGTTCTAAGAATAGGCTGGGGGAAATACCTCCAAGGCGGGCCTGACAAGGACAGCTGTCTAGTCCTTCGGATGAGATGGAAAACCGAGGTCCCGTGTATACAAGAATGCATGTAAAAGATCCCTTGGCAGTTGGAATTCGATATAAGAGTAGGCGATGGTGCCGCTGCCCGAGCAAAATTTCCCTCATAGCACACTGTATGGCGTATGCCTGTCTTCATTAGCCCAGAGCAGAACAGTAGGACGTTAAACCCCATTTCATTTCATTTCATTTCACCTCCAAGGCGTTATATTACGCCCTACACACAGTGAGTGGCAGTTCTCCAGGACGTAATATAACGTCCTACACATGCTGCGATCGTGGGGGAATTCCCAAAAGATTCCCCCAAGTGACGAACTATGTTCTAAGAATAGGTTGGGGAAAATACCTCTAAGGCGTTATATTACGCCCTACACACCGTTAGTGGCAGTTGTCCAGGACATTATATAACGACCTACGCACTTAACGGGTTAAATTTATACCCAGTATTTAAGGTCATGTAACGAAGAAGCCTATTGATTTTCAGCAATTTTGAATAATTACTGCCAGAGTTATGGCCCTTGATCACTTCAAAAAGTCTTGTAGACACTCTAGAGGCTAAAGTGATGTCGGATTAACTTTAGATTTATACACAGTGTTTAAGGTCATGAAACAAAGAAGCCTATTAATTTTCAATGATTTCCGATAATTACTGCCAGATTTATGGCCCTTATCACTTTGAAAAATCTTGTGGATGCTTTAGAGGCTAAAGTTAATATCCGATTGACTTTAAATTTATACGCAGTGTTTGAGGTCATGAGTGAAGAAGCCTATTAATTTTCAATGATTTCCGATAATTACTGCCAAAGTTATTGCCCTTGATCAATAACTAAAGTTATCATCTGATTGACTTTAGATTGATACACAGAGTTTTTATACGCCCACATTTTTATGTGGATTTATATTGTTGTTGCCCCTGTCCGTCCTTAATTTGTTTGTGGACACTCTAGAGGTCACAATTTTTATCCGATTTTGACGAAACTTGTAATATAGGTCCATCTCCCAAAGATCTTGGTTCTTTTCGATATTGGCATGTATCGTACCATAACTTCATGGATAATGGTGGCCCCTGATTGTACGAAAAATCACGTTTTTAGCTTGTGGACACTCTAGAGGTCACAATTTTGATCCGATTTTGATGAAACTTGAAATTTAATGTTTATAACCCAAATATCTTTTTTCCTTTCGATATTCACGCATTTCGGTTGGTAACTTACTGTATTATGGCCCCTGATTGTACGAAAAATCACGTTTTTAGCTTGTGGTCCCTCTAGAGGTCACAATTTTTATCCGATTTAAAAAAAAAACATTTTAGTATATCACCATTACACCCTAATGATGGTTGAGTTCAAATTTCGTGAAAATTGGACAAAAAATGCCGGATATAAACTGGCCGCCCCCCTGTAATCAAATAGTATAAAATATGGTATATTTAGGTTGTGGATCCTCTGGAGGTCACAATTTTCATCCGATTTTGATGAAACTTGGAATGGATGTTTATATCCCAAAGATCTTGGTTCCTTATGATATTCCTGCATATTGAATCATAACTTCCTGAATTATGGCCCCTGATTTTATGAAAAATCATGCTTTTAGCTTGTGGTCCCTATAGAGGTCACAATTTTTATCTGATTTAAAAATATAATACAGTTATACACTTATATTGTTTGGTTTCGAATTTCATGACAATCAGACAAAAACTGACGGACATAATGGCTGCTATTGTATGCAAATAGTGTAAAAATATGGTATATCAAGGTTGTGGACCCTCTAGAGGTCATACTTTTAATCCGATTTGGATGAAACTTTAAATATACATGTATGTTTTTATCATAAAGATCTTGGTACCTTTTGATAATCACACATATCCGAACGCAATTTCCTAGATAATGTACCCTGATTGGTCGTAAAATCACAACTTTAGCCCGCTGACAGACCGATTTTTTTTGACAGAAATTCTTTGAAATTGAACAATACTTTGTGATCGCACAATACTTTGTGATTATTTAAAGCATTTTAGTTCCAGTCCGCGCAATAATAATAACTTCAGTCAGAATAACTTACTAAGCACACAGTAGTTCTACCGGTATAAGCTTCCGGTACTAAGAGTAAAAATAACTTTTCTAAAATTAACGAGTACTGTCGAATGACAACATTCCTTACCAAAGATACCGTAATTTTTTTTCTCTATGTATTTTGTGAAAATATGTCTTCCGTTTATTGTCATTCACGGCTTTTTATTGTTTAATGATAAATAAACAGCAATAAACACTTTTATAAACTCCCAAGTGTTCATTTCACGAAGATTGCAAACGTCGTAATAATATATAGCGTTTTTACATCACGTGTCTTCTCGCTCACTTTTCCACACGACCGGTGGTACTGTTTCACGAATTATGTATACCCACACTTTGATTTTCCAAAGGAATCATTGATTTTCTGATCAAAATATACTTTATGTAGGCAGAAATGTGAAAAATGCTAACTATATTGAGAGGTACCAGTAGACTGAATGACATTGTGTCATAGTGGTCCGTAAATCGCATGATCTGAAAAACAGCCATTTATTTGACTTAGTTAGAATAGGCATTTTTTGAGACATCACTGATACTGTATAGTTTAATTTAGTATTCTTGTATTGTAATATTTCATTTTCAATACGGCATACACTTAAATGAGCAAAAACAAGTTTGCAAGGGTAAATTGAACCCGTAGCTATAAAAACGACCGATTGAACAACACAAACTTTTTCTGATATTTTTTTTCCTTTTTATCCCTCCATTTATGGTTGTTGCTGTCTATTACAATTATAACATCCAATAGATTATTGATGATATAGAGAATCTCCTACAATTCTTTTCTGATAACAACGAGGCTCTGCCAAGTTTTTTTTACTTTATCAACGAGTGTTGATATTTTTTGATATCAAAAAAGACGAGTAGGAGATTTTATTTATCACCCAATCCTTTCTTACGTGCACAAATAAATAAATATAATTCTTTGCTATAGACTTCACTTTTACCGAACCTGATTACATTACGGCGTAGTGATACATCAGTTTTTGACAGCAATTCAACCATTGCAAAGTCCTTTATATTGACCCAGTGTTTCCATCAAAGTCAATGAAATAAAAATAATTCATTTTTAATAAGGAGATGTCGCAGTAGATTATGAAATTTATCACACAAGCGATGTCTACTGTAGAATGTATTATTGGGTGATAAATTATGGATAGGTATTGGAACATTTGGATGCTTAAATATTTGTTACTTTGTTATTAAGCTTTCATATTTCATATTATTATTATTATTAACATTTATAGAGCGCTATCTTCCACAAAAGGTGTTCAGATGCGCTGTACAATACAATTCAATAAAATATGTAATAAAAATAAATATACATATAGGAAAACTAAATAAATCTATAGAAGTAAAACATAACATATGAAAGCTTATTGTTTCTGTTAAGATTATTAAGCTTTCATATGTATTACATATGAAAGCTTATTGTTTTTGTTAAGATTATTATTATTTTTTTTTTTTGTGTGTACTTTCTGCAAATCGTGTTTCGCAGAATCTAACCATAGGATCTTTCTGAAACTTTGACCTACCCCCCCCCCCCCCCACACACACACACAAAAATGGGAAGCGAACGTTGATTAAATATATTTTCAAATTGTTTTTCGAATCCGAAAATCACCGAATTTTACGAATGAATGCATTTGACCTACATTGCTGTAACTTTGTAACTATTTGACTTCTTTTTTCTTTGGGTACCTTGAAACATTTACTTAAAATCTGCAATTTCAGATTTTCGAATTTTGAAAATTTGTCACTGTAATTTTGAACCGGAAGTTGAGATCAACTTGACAACTTCTTTAATAATTGCACGATTTTCATGAAATTTAGTATGTAAGTAGATCTTGCAGATGCGACATGAAAAATGTCATGTGAAATTTTCTAAATTATCTCCCCTTGATGAAATAAATGATCAAAGTTTTCTAAAAAAATCGACGAAATATAGGTCAGATTGCCTTTAAAAAAAATTTCTGTACTAGCTACGACACTACTGATTCGTACACAAAAAATGGAGTTTGTAGACCAATCCGGAAGTGCCACCATCTTGAAATGTGAAATATTGCTAAGGCTTTTTTGATATTTTACTTACAGACAAGGGAATTATATTTTCCGAATCCTTTAAACATGCATTATGCAAGAGCTAAATCTGATTATTGCAAGTCTTAATTAATGGCTTCAGATGTTATAGAAATTATAAATTAGATCTTTATTTAAACAACAAGACCAAAATCAAATCTGTAGACCCACAGATGGCTCGGCTACAGCTCGGATTTAAATAGGATTTCACTAATTGATTAAATCAAATAAGGGCTAACCTGATGAAAATACGTCAGTTAGATCGAGGCTAAATGATAGAGTGTACTTAGCGAGGCCGCTGTAAAGCGTTTCCGTATGCCATTGAAAACTTTACT